AGAAAGATGGATTCTGGTGTGGACCTCAGAGAATTAATGTGTGGGCTATGGGCTGGCTGCTGCCAGATCGGCACACACACGTCCGCTTCCCTTCAAGGGCAGGGAAACCTTGCCTGCGATGAAATACTGCTCCTTTGTAGGGAGCGTAGGCAAGTGTAAGAAATCCTGCGTGGATGTGGGCTACTGACGTGACCCGGCCATGTGAACGACCCCCAAGCGTCAGACCCAGTGGGAACCGGCAAACCTCTCCCAAGAGCGGGGAGACTGCAAGGCCTCATCCCCTGGTCTGAGTGCAAATTTTGAGGGTGTGTCCAGTAAATGTTTATCATTGCTTTCTCCCCACCCCTGCCTCCTCCCCCTGTTTATGGCCTGAAGACTTCTCCCCTGCAGGAATTACTCCTACCAAGATTAGCTACCCCTGCTTCCTTGATCCAGCTGTACACCAGGAACCCCGCCTCCTTGTTTGGCTGTAAGCAACAACCCGCCTCCCTGTTGGACTGCATATAATAAATAATATGCTGTACTTCTGGGGGTGCTGTGCTTTCTCAGGGAGTCCAGTCTGCCCAATCTCAGCTTTTTGGTGTCTGTCTGTGTGTTTGTCTTTTCTTCATTTCCTCGACGTCCCCAGTCAGGTTTGTCTTGGAACAGAGCCAGATGCAAAACCCTTTCCTGCTTTCTGCCTTGTTTGGGCACAGAATTTGAGGAATTTCCAGGTCCTTCTCTGCTTTATCCTGTGCATACCTGGCCACCATCCCCAAGCGGTCATTTCCCCAAACCCAGCCCTTGTGCAGCTCAATATTTTCAGGATCGATTTCTCCTCTTATCTTCCTATGTTTTCCTTATGAAAGTCTCATTGATCCGAGGGCCTGAGAGCCAGATCTAACATTTGTTCGTGAGAAGTGTTAAATGTCGTGCAGAGACCAGCCCCTTTGCTTAAGTCTGTGTTCTAGTTTCCTTTCTGTTTATGTGATGAAGACACTCTGACCAAAAGCACCTTAGCAGAAGAAAAGGCTCGTGGCAGCTGAAGATTTGTGGTCCACCATTAAGGGAAGCCAGGCCAGGAACTAAAGCAGGAACTTGAAGCAAAAGCCACAGGAGGAGGCTGCTTGCTGGCTCACTCGTAGGCTAATGCTTACCTAGCCTTTTATTTATTTTATTTTTCTATGTGTATGGTGTTTTGTGTGCATGTGTGTCTGTGCATCACATGTGTGCCGTGCCTGCCGGTAGAAGCCAGAAGAAGTCATGGGATCCCCTGGGACTGGAGATAGAAGACAGTATGAGCTGCCATGCAGGTGCTTGGAATTGAACCCGGGTCCTCTGAAAGAGCAGCCAGTGCTCTTAACTGCTGGACCATCTCTTCAGCCCCTTCTGTAGCTTTGTTACGCATCCAGGACCATCTACCCAGACAATAATGCCACCCACAATCGAGACTGACCCTCACACATACACCTACATCTCACTGCCACGAGTCTCTCAGATGACTCTAGGCTGTGTCTCGGTAACAGCTAACACTAACTACAGCAGCCTCCTTTTGGCCCAGCTTTAGGTTTTATGTCCATTCACATCATGTAACAGAAGCTACGGTGCTGTGTGTTTGAGCTTGGGAGTCTCTGCAGCCTGAATATAAATGGAGAGGACTGCGATCGGTTATCTGTCACATTCTGTTGAAGGTGCTTAAGGGCTTCCTGCTCTTTAAAATTACAGTGGTGGGTGTACAGACTGAGGACAAGACCGTTTCCTCATGGTTAAGAGGAAGGTTTTTATTGTAGATGTGACAGAGAGAACACCCAGAGGCATCTGGGAGAGTTCATAGCAGAGAGAGAAAGAAGCAGGCTGAACATGGCCAGCACCCCTGACCTGACCACAAGAGAAGCAGGAGCAGTGTATTGGGGTTGGGGGGAGGTGGGCAGCACACAAATTGAGAGAGAGGGAAGGGGGCACAGAGAGAGACAGACAGACAGACACACAGAGAGGTGGGAGAGAGAGAAAGAGAGGGCGGCGAGAGGAGAGCCAACATATAGAAAATAGCAGGGTTATAAGGAGAATGGGTAGCTGGGGGAAGGAAGCCAGTGTGCTGAGGGAGTTTAGGGTGGAGGAGGTGTGAAGGCCTAGGAGGATGGTATGAGCTTAGAAGTGTGTAACAGGCACTTGTGATTGTGAGGGAGCCTGGAGGCCAGCATGAGCTTTGGTATGCTAACAGGCACCCCAGATCGCCATTGTCCCTTCAGCCAGTGCTAAGGGGAATGACTCCTTTTGGTAGAGGGGAGCTGGCAGCTTCACAAGTTCCTGAGGATTGCTGACTTTTATCTTACCATCAGAAGTCCCCCTATAGTCCCGGTTGAGGCCATTTCTGGATATCTGGACTGCGTCTTGGAATTTTGGGAAATGGAGTTCCCTTTGGACCTGACAGATGGCATGTATTTTCATACTTCAGTTAAAAATATCTGAAGCCTGTTTAGTTCTGTTTAAGTCCACAAAGGATGAGAATAGGCACTACTTGATCTTTGTGAATTCCAAGAGAAAAAATACTAAGTGGTTTAAACACAGGTCTCACTTCCTGGAGAATTTCTTGCTAATGGGGACTCTGCATTGTCAGGATTTTATTCCACGTCACTTAAAAGCAGCTTTGCTGTCCTGGAAACTGTAGCGAGAATCACTGATCTGACATTTTCCCTCAAAGTTTAACTTTAGTCAAACACCCTTTGCTTGTGGAGATTTTGGGGTGGGGCTTGCAAGTGGTAGTGAGCAGTAGGCATTAACTGAGATGGGGGTGCGGGGTGGGTGGGTGGTGCTTTGAGACTTGCTGTGAAATGCTGAAAAGCAGGTGTAAAGTACATTTTATTTTGGGTTTTTTGTTTTATTTTGTTTTGTTTTTTTCAAGATAGGGTTGCTCTGTGTAGTTTTGGTGCCTGTCCTGGAACTCACTCTGTAGACCAGGCTGGCCTTGAACTCACAGAGATCTGCCTCTGCCTCTTGCCTCCGCCAAGTGCTGGGATTAAAGGCGTGCGCCACCACCGCCCAGCTGTAAAGCGCATTTTCACTCTGCTTTTTCATCGTACTCTCCTTCACTTCAGCATCCAGTTTTGAAAAATTAAACTTAGTTTGAATATTTCTCTTTCCCGGCTGCCACCATGCTTTGCTCATGTGTCCTCATGGACTTGACCCTGTTCTGGGGTTGTTTTACCTTGTAACATGATGGCCAAATAGACATTGTTTTCTGTTTTTTAAAAATGGGGTGTGTGTGTAGATTCTAGTTTCAGCAGCTCCCTACTTACTGTATAACCAAGTGTAAACTAATTCTGTCCTCTGTAAGCCTATCTTTGAAACTCATTACAGTTGTTGTAAGAATTAAGTAACCTAATACATTTAAAATATTCAGATTAATGCCAGCACAGAGAAATAGTCTTATAGGATCTGGAATGTGCAGAAAAGTAAATACAGAAAAATATTTTTTAAGTGTCGCCTGAACTCTTACTGCTGAGATAACTAATGTTACATGTTAACGTAACCCAACCAATTCCCCCTCACAGATACAGTAAATAAACCATTTTAAACATTTTCTCATATGATTCTTCCTAACATTTTAACAGCTCCTCATATCCTACTGTGTAAGTGTCCAGCAACTGAGTCAGTTTTTCTCTAGACAGACCTGTGTTAGGATTCTGAGCCCACGCCAGCTGCATGACCGCACATGCACAGTTCAGCAGCTAAGCAAGGGGTCTTGCATCTTACGTCATCTGTATGCGCTGATGAGTGCGGGTGCATGGCAAGATTATGCAATCAGTGCATGCATGGCATAGCTCCGTAAGCCCATCTGCACCTTAAAAAGCCAGACACAGACTCCTCCTTCTTCCTCTCCATTCTGTTCTCTCTCTCTTCTCTGAACTTGCTTCTTCCCTAGGCCTGGTTCTTTTGTCCCATCCCCCACCCCCCAAAAAATTAAAGCTCTGATACCGAGTTTTGTCGAGGCTCCTGCCTCATGACGTTTCTGCCTGGTAACCAGTGCCGCTTATCATTTTTAACATTGGGGCTGTGGCTTGGGTCATAAATGAAACCTTTTAAAAGGTTCATCTGTGGGGTTAGAGAGAGGCTTGGGCATTAAAAGCACTTGCTGCTCGCTCGCTCTCGCTCTCTCTCTCTCTCTCTCTCTCTCTCTCTCTCTCTCTCTCTCTCCCCCCCCCCCCAGATTTATTTTACTTGTATGAGTGCTTGGCCTGAGTGTACATGCTTACATCACATATGTACATGGTTGCTGAGGTCCATAGGAGGGCATCAGATTCCTTGAATCTGGAGTTACAGACAACAGTTTGAGCCACCATGTGGGTACTGGGACCTGATCCCCAGTCCTCTGCAAGAGCAGCGCCAGACTCTTAGCCTCTCTAGCCACCCACACAGCAGCTTGCAGCTGCCTCTAATTCATGTTCCAAGGGTCCGGTCCCCTCTTCTCACCTCCTGGCCACCCAAGCACATGTTGTACTCACACAGATAAGCAGGCATGTGTAGGGAGAGAGTGAAGTCCCGAGCAAGTGAAGTTCTGAGTCAATGTGTGTTGTTTGGCATGAACTACGCATGTCAAGTACCAAGGTCTCCATCCTATAGGAAGCTGGCAAAGGCTTTCTTCCCTGGGAAAAGCAAAGCCTTCTTCTGGTCTAAGGGTGGATAATTGACCAGTGTGTGTAAAAACTAGCAGCTGCAGCTTCCTCCTGGATATTTGAGCCTGAGCCTGCTCACCCACAGAGATCTCCTACTGTGACTAGCTACACACACACACACACACACACACACACACACACTGTGACTGTACGTAATAAACTGGCACACATGTCTGACCTTTCTTCATGTCCTTGCTGCCCCTACTCAGGACCAAGCCATGCTAGATGTGGCACACACACACACACACACACACACACGTTTTTAAAGTACATTTGTGATGATTTTATTAAACTTATATTTACGTAATTTTAAGATAACATTAATTTTTTTTAAAAAAATCACTGCACAAAGTGTTGGTCTGATTATGGCATTTCCTAAACAAAAATTGTTTTTAAATCATGTTTCTCTGTCCTCCTTCCCCCGACTTGTGCTCCTTCCACCCCCAGTCTCTTCTGTTGTGATGAACAGTTGAACTTCAGTAAACGTGTTCACACACAGGTCTTTACACTCATCTTTGGATGTTAATTTTCTTTAAATTCCTAGGGAAAAAAATGACGACTGGGTAAAAGGTGTGAATAGTTTTCCGATTTTCATTGCCTCGTCTGTTTATTTTCTGTCTGTAAGCGCTGTCTGGTTTATTATTCTCCAGCCAGTGTGGCCGACTGGTCTTCCCATCATCCTTCACGGCTTGGTGATTGTACGTTCACCTTCATTTCTTCCTGTCCTCTCTGTGACCTTGCACTCCCCACCTGCTGGACTGCTTTTCCATCCTCCAGTAAGTGCCTCTTACCTCAAGTGCCTTGACTTGAAGAGTCCAGCAGACAACCTCTGGTCACTTTTTCCACATTCCCTCCCCCGTCTTCATACCTCTCCCTCGAGCCTGTTCAACAGTGAACATGCCTCAGGCACTAAATCAGTTTATTAACTTATCTCAGTTTTCCGCTGTTTTTTGTATTGCTTTTCAAGTGTTTGTTTTTTCTTCCAGTATTTCGTATGCAGTTGGCGCCCACATCAGAACTACAGGCTCCTCTCTGGGAGAGTCTGCTGTGTCTCCCTCCCAGCGGAGTCTGGTGCCCTGTGCCTTCCTCTTCAGACAGCTAAGGAATTGGAGCTGGCTGACTGGCAGGTCTCCTTTGTGAGGGGAATTCCTTCCACCAGAAAACACACTTTACACCCCCAGATCTTTCATCTGCATCAATTATTTCTTAAAGAACACACCACTGTAATAGTGAGTAGGTTTTCACCTGGTGAAGCGAAATAACATCAGCATTCTACCTGCTGGGTTCCCAGAATTCAGCTCCTTAGTCATTCTGTTGTTATTTTTCCCCTCACAGGGTTCCTTTTATAAGCTCTGCCCTAGCTCTTTGTTCTCTGGAGGACTCCAGGTGGCCTGGGTGGTACAGCACAGCCCATGTGGGTTCTGTGAGGAAGGGCACCTTTCCTGAGCTGCCCTAAGGTTTTAGGTCCTTTCACTCCAGTTCTTCTAGAAGCTACCATCTGCTCAAATCTTACTGGAGGGAATCTATGACCTTTCTCCCTCTTCATGCACCGGGCCTTCACCACCACCACCCAGAGTAAGTGTGACAACTTACTCGGAGCCTTAGATCAGCACAAACCTGAATGCCTAGGAGGTGCTCCAAAGACAACCGTCACTGAGATGTACAGTTCTGAGCCACATTCTAACTCTAAAAAAGGGTCCCTAGCAGGAAATTAAATAAGGACATTAAAGAATAGAGATCAAATGGTTACGGAGAGGAAGGCCTGAAATAAAGTATCCCACACAGCTTTGAGTGAAGCTTGATCTGTTGCTTGGACAGGGTGGGGCTTGGAGTTGAACTGTTACTTTCCTAAAACTAAAGTTGTTAACAGTAATTGAAGACCAAGTGTGGCTCTAGTTCCTAATAGAAGACCAGACTCTTCTTCTGTGAGGGAAAGTCTGTGGGCAGTGAATTGTGAACCGTCAAAGAATTTTCTCCCAAGCTACCCCAAAGTACCCATTGCATGCATATTGTCAAGCTATTAAGCTTTTGTGGTACAAAGTCTGAAGCTGTTAGAACATGGTGATGTGTAGGACCCACACCTGATTTCCACCATACTCAGTGGCTGAGTTCCCTGTACAAATAGTTGGAAAGCTGGTGGGTACCCTTTGGTACCTATGGAGAGGTGTTCATAGAAGGTAGAGTGGGCAGTACTAACATTGTAGAGCATTGAGCCAAATGGAGGGCCAGGAAGGCACCAAACCAATGACTGTCTCCTAGCACTCAGTGTTTTTATGAAGATGATGAATGCATGCATTGCTTGGGAGAGTACTGCATAAATGAGAGAAACTGGTAATACTAATTATTTTACTGTCTCTGAAATGGTTAAAGTCCTAAGAATAGGCAAATTAGGATTTGGACTTCCAAGGGCATCTGTCATTGATTAAAGAACAGGTGAGTGGGGACTAGAGAGATGGCTCAGGGGTTAAGAGTTCTTACTTCTCTTGTAGAGGACCCAGTTTCTATGCTCAGCACCCATGTGGTGACTCACAAGCATCCACAACTCGGTTCCAGGGCCTCTGTGCTTTCTTCTGACCTCCTCAGGCACCAAGCTCTCCTGTGGTGCACATACATACAGGCAGGCCAGACACCCGGGCACAGAAAACAAATAAATCTAAAATGAAATAAAGAATAGATAAGTAATTCCGATTTTTATTTTTTCCGTTCATTTTTAGAATGTCAGTAAAAATTTTGAATTGAAACTATTCTTTGAATTTTCTTTTATTTATGAGAGCATTCCTGTCTCATTTAAAAATATGCTTTGAACATAAGCTCCTGCTTGAACATAAGGGCTAGCTGCCATTTGAATCCATTTAAAGTGTCACTCGGGGTAAAGCGGGTTCTTGAAATATCGTACTGCAATCTAATATTTACCGAGAGTTGTCTCCTTCTGTTCCTCTTGTGAGTCTTGAGCAAGAGCTCTGCGTGTGAGGTTGCAGAACTGAAATGCCCAAGTGTAGCCCTAATATCACGAGCTACAGAGACTCTTTCGAGACCTGCAGCATGATTGTAATTAGGAAAGTAAATTTCATTTTAAACACTATCAGGAGGCACAACCAGGAAGAAATAATGCGGTGTGCTTTCAGTAATAAAGAATAGATCAATATTTTAAAATGTGATAAATTATAGAGTCCTTTCCTGTGCCTCATAAATATTCCAGCAAACACAGTTGTTAAAGACAGATGTTGCACTGACTAGCAAGGGTGGTGTGTTTAAATATAGTTATTCTGCGGTGTTGGGATGTTGTTTTCTAACATCAGGAGAAACTCGTTATTAAACTCTAGAATTCAATGTGTTATGCTAATGTACTGCTGAGTCCATTTACATTTTATGGAATAATTTTATTTGTTCTGCACTTGCTGGCTGGCTGGCAGAGAAAGTGAGCACTGTTTGGTGATATTTTGAAGCTGTAACATCCTCAGCATCTGATTTAGGGAAATTCAACTGTAAATCTGGAAACAAGTGTTGGACGCTATCGTCAGTGACTCTGTGGTCCAAACATAGCTTGCCCACCACTTCCCAGTGTACCTCCTGGGGAGCCAGCGTCCCTTTCCAGCCGGTTTCCTTCCTCAGTAAGTTGTGGTGACATTTAAGAGGGAAGCTATGAAGACGACAAGAAGATTCATTTTAAATGGCAGCAGTGGAACCGCGAGAACATTCCTGAAATGCAGACAGTAAAAAGTGCCTTCTACAGTTGGGATGCATCATGCTCTGTCCCCTCATACCTATGTGCAGGCGTGTGTGCTTTACATGGAAAGGATGTGCCACAGCGGGTGCTTAATAGCTTTGCTTTTAACCACATCAGCACGTCAGGATTTCTTCCTGGCCAGTACACAGCACCTGTTGTGTTTTCCCAAAAGAATGTAGATCATCTTATTCTGCAAATGAAGAAGCACCCTGACCTCCCTTTGATTCCCAGGAAACATATGTTTCTATATTTTATATTGTAAAGTACACATATTTTGTTTTTCTTTTCAGTTCACAGAAATTATATCCACTGTGGAATGGTTAAACCTCAGTAACTGAAAACGCATTACCAGCTGGGTGTGGTGGTGGCTCACACCTTTGATCCCAGTGCTTGGGAGGCAGAGGCAGGCAGACCTCTGTGAGTTTAAGGCTGACCTTGTCTACACAGCAAGTTCCAGGCCAGTGGGGATACAGAGGAAGACCCTGTCTCAAAACGAAACCAAACAAATGAGCAAAAATTACCTCACATGGTTTTTCTTTTAGTGATGACCACATCACACTCAGCAGCCATGCGCTACACTTTTCAGAATATAATGTGTTATATAATAACACTAACGAACGAACGAACGAACGAACGAACGAACGAACGAACGAACGAACGAACGAACGAACGAACGAACGAACGAACGAGCACGCGCACGCACATATATATATGATTAGTTATGGTCACCCCTCTTTATTGAACTATTGAAACTTACTCCTCCAATCTAATGAGAAGATACTCTTTAAAAAACAATATCTCACCAGGTGGTGGTGGCTTACACCTTTAACCCCAGCACTCGGGAGGCAGAGCCAGGCGGATCTCTGTGAGTTCAAGGCCAGCCTGGTCTACAGAGGGAGATCCAGAACTGGCACCAAAACTAGACAGAGAAACCCTGTCTCTAAAAACCAAAACAAAACAAAACAAAATGATACCTCCCACTGCATCCCTCACTACCAGCTGCGGATAACCACCATGTGTTCTAGTTCTAGGAAATCAACTTCTTGGGTTTTTTTTTTTCTTTATTTTTAAAAAATTATTTATTTTACATCCTGGCCACAGTTTCCTCTCTCTCCTCTTCTCCTAGTCCCTCACCCCCATACCCCTTTTTTCCCACCCCCAAATCCCTTCCTCCTTCTCCATTTCTGTTCAGTATAGGGCAGGTCTCCCATGAGATCAACAAAACATGGCATTTTAATCTGTAGTAAGACTAAACACCTCCCCATGTGTTAAGGCTGGACAAGGTGACCCAATTTGAGGAGTAGGATCCCAAAAGCCAGTAAAAGAGTAGGAGACAGCCCCTGTTCCCGCTGATAGGCGTCCCACAAGAGGACCAAGCTACACAACTGTAACACATAGGCAGAGTGCCTTGGCTAGTCCCATGCAGGCTCCCTGGTTGTCAGTTCAGTCCCTGTGAGCTCCTGTGAGCACAGGTTAGTTGATCCTGTGAGTTTTCCTATGGTGTCCTTGACCCCTCTGGCTCCTGCAATCCAGAAATCAACTTCTTAATGTTACATATTTGAGATTGTGTTTCATATGAATTTTAGGATATTTTTCTATGGCTGTGAGAAATGTCTTTGGTACTTTAGGTAGGGGTTACATTGACTACATAGATCACTTTGGGTAGGGATTACATTGAATCTATGGATGGCTTTGTCTAATAATAATATTCTTCTAGTCTAGGAATGTGAGGAATTTTCATTTACTTTTGGCCCATACCTTAGAATATTTCACAATTAATAGTTGTACAGGACTTAGAATATAAACTATGTAGACAGGTCTTTGCTTTATTCTTAGCCCAAACCAGATTGATCATTATTAACAAGATCTTTGAAATTCCTTAGTGGCTACAGATACGATTTTTTTTTTCTGGTGTATCTGTTTGTTTTTGACTCAGTTTCATGTAGCCCAGAATGGCCTTGAACTCACTGTTATAGCCAGGATGACCTTCTACTGGATTTTCAGGCGTGAACCACCAAGTACATCCTAATTTTGACCTTCATTATTGGATTATTAACTTCAGACATTATGTGGATGAAACAGGAGTGAAATATAAGGAGATGTCAGACTTGACTCTCTCCAGAGATACGATTTAGGAATTACAGCATTCCTCTGGCGCATCCATATCACTGTGCCATTTAATGTCTCCCATAAAGTAAGGCTTAGCCATCATAATGATTCTCAACTGGGAGGGAGAAAGAGTGTTCAACCACCCATTCTACCAAAGAACCCATCAGAATCTTCAGGAAGGCCTTCTTCAAAGTATGTCTTCCCTCCAGTCCCCAGCGGGAGTGGGCCTAGCTGGTTGAGACTCTCTGCATGTAATTTATGATGTCACTAGTGGAGAAGTGTTATGCAGTGGATATAGAAGCAAACAGACAAAAGGAACAAATTGATATAATAATAATAGTATATATAAGGTTACAACAATTAAGTAGCAAAGAGTTGCCTTTTTCAGGGTTAAGAGGCATTTTTTTAAATCTCTTTATTTTCTAAGTAAGCTTTTATGTTTTTGCTCGGTTATCTATCTATCATCTATCTATCTATCTCTTATTTATTTATTTATTTATTTATTTATTTATTTATTTATTTATTTATTTATTTATTTATTTAGTGTGAGGATTGAACCTAAGACCCAGAGAGCAAGCACTCTACCACTGAGTTGCATTGCCAGCCTAGATCCCTCTTCTTATGTGTCCCAGTACTTCATCTTGAGTCTTAGCAGAAGTTTCTCCTTTCTACTCACTTCCTAAGAGTTCTTCTGAGCATTGGTGGGTGGAGACCCGCAACACACAGTAGTGACGTATGGACCGTACAGGAGGGAAGTGTCTTCTGTGGGTGGAGACCCGCAGTGTACAATGGAGATGTGCACTACAGAGGATGCACATGTCTTTTGCAGATGTGTGCCAGAAAAATGATCATGATGCAGCCTTTCTGAATTTGTTGGGATTGAAAGTCTGAGTGCTACCCCTGTGAACATGCAACCCATTATCTTTCGGGCCTTTAAACCTGATAGAACACTCATAGGGGTCTGGGGTCTGACAGTGTGACTCTGCAGTCTAAAAGTCAGAGTGACAGGGCGTGTGTGTCTGGAGGTTCGATCCACAGCACTCGGAGTTCTCTCTGTCACACCTGAGGGTCAATGAAAATCCTAAGATGAGAAGTATAATGGAGTTCTCTGTTTATCTACAGACTGCAGCGGAATATGTGAAATCCCGACTCCCGGAGGCCCTCAAACAGCATCTTCAGGATTATGAGAAGGACAAAGAAAACAGTGTTCTATCTTACCAGACCATCCTTGAGCAGCAGATCTTGTCAATTGACCGAGAAATGCTGGAAAAGTTGACGGTATCCTATGATGAAGCAGGTATGTTTGTTATTAACACACACACACACACACACACACACACACACACACACACACACACACCACAGAACTCCTAGACCTGGACTAAATCTGGCCGCTTTTCAGAAGTAGGTGATGAAGGGCAAACTGGACTCATGCTATACCAGTTACTGGTGAGTTTCTTCTCCGCTCTTCTAGTGCCAAAACTGATCCATGGCGCTCACATATCAAGTCCCCGTGAGCTTTTGCTCACTGTAAATGGCGTGTTTCTGGCTCTTTATCAGCTGTACTGCTGTCTCCTAATATTGTGCAGTCACTTCGGTTTTGGATACTAGGGGGAATCCTTTACATCAGTAATCGGACAGCTCTATTTGATTTGGGTGATTTCTTTTTAATATCAGAGATTGTGTTTTCCCAAGTGGTACTTGTTTTACCCCTTCTATGTTTCAGCTGGATTCGGCTTTCTTTGCTTCAATAATTCAAATGTTATCTGTTCTCTGATCCCACAGCAGACATTTGTTTGGCTGCATACCCTTTATCCCCTCCATTGAAACTTTCCAGCAAAGCCATGGACAGACTCCCCAGTCATGCCATTTTTATCATTATGTAGTCTATAAGTTAAGCCAGTTTTATGGACAATGAGTGCAATATTATTTAGACCTGTTGAAACCTTTAGTAAAATGGAATTTAAGGCTGGGGTGTGAGTGCAATATTATTTAGACCTGTTGAAACCTTTAGCAAAATGGAATTTAAGGCTGGGGTGTGGCTCAGTTAGTAGAGTGCTTGCCTCGTGTCCTAATTTGTTTCCCATTGATGTGATAAAATACTGACCAGAAACGACTTGGGAAGGAGAAGGTTTATTTCATCTTACACTCCCAGGTAGCCGCCCATCACTGAGGGATGTCTAGGCAGAAACATAAGGCAGGAACTGAAACAGAGACCGTAGAAGAATGCTGCTCACTGGCTCGCTCCCCATGGCTTGCTCAGCCTGCTTTCTTGTACAGCCCAGGACCTTGTTGGAGTGGTACCATGTGCTGAGCACCCCCCCAACCCCCACCCTCCCCACACAGACACATCAACCATAAATTAAAAAAGAAATGTGCCACAAACATGCCACAGTCCTATCTGAAGGAGGCAGATCCTCAATTAAGGTTTCCTCTTTCCAGGTGACTATAGTTTGAGTCAGGCTGACAGACTAGCCAGTATGCCTAGCGAGCACAAGACTCTGGGTTTGATCCCCTGCACCACATAAACTCAGAGCCTTGTGCATCAGACAGGCCTGTGGCATGTTCAGACATGTGCATACGCTTGGCCTTGGCCTTTAGAGACAAATCCTTCAGTGCAGAATTCATCAGTGAGCAATGGAAATAAATAAACACAGGCTTGAGAGTTCAAGGGTCCAAGTTTCTAGGCTTAGTGCTGATGAGATCTTTAGAACATTAATCTCTTAGAACCTCTGTTTTTCATTTCATATAATTGAGCTAATATTCCCTTGGGTTGTTCTAATAATAAAGGATATGATGTTTGATCATGAGGTCCTTAGAAATCATGTGGCTGATTAATGCCACTAATGCTGCATAAAGACAGATTTGGATCTTGCCAATCTCTCAGACCATGTTAAGGTGTTCTTAGGACCCTTTTGCTTGGGAGACAGAAATTCTTCGGAAGCATTGAGAAACTAAGCAGCATCTGTGGAACTCACAGCATGAGCTCTGCCTGCCTTTGGTCATTGCTGTCTGTCCGAGCAGGGTGGCAGGGCTGGTGGAGGCTGGATACATGCGGATGAATAAATGACACTGTTTGCTGTAAACCACAAGGTCCCTGCCTCCTCCTCTGTAGCTCATGCTCTACTGATTTAACTAAAGTAAGAGGAGACAAATAGGAAAAGATATTGCTACTCAGAAGGAAGCTGTTACATCGTAAAAGAAGGGTCCAGACTAGAAGCGAACAGCATCCAGTGCTGGGAGATAACCACCCCACACTAAGATCCTCATTGGCTTCGGTATTTGGCCTCTTCCCATGATGTCTCAGCTTCTGCTTTCTCACATTTTAAACTCCACTATCCCAGTGTTAGGAAGGAGTGGGCTGATAGTTAGGAACGTCCTGGTATCTGGAGAGGTCAGTTTGTCCCTAATGCTCACCCACTGCAGTGTCAGCCTGAGTGACTTGATGGCAGTTATCACCATCTGTGGCTTCCAAACGTGTAAAATATAATTAATGGGGGCGGGGATGGGGATCCTTCAACCTTGTCTACAGCATTGGCTCAGATCTTTTTCTCCTCCCCTGCTCCTGCCTTTAAAAAACAACAACAAAAACAGAACTGTTTTCCTCTCTTTTCCTTTCAACACAAGAAACTCAAAACCTTCTTTACCCACAGTCCAAATATCCAATCTCCAGCAACCCGACGTTCATCAAAGACATGGGAAATGAGCAAGAACTGTGTGTGCAGAGCCAGGCTTGGCAGAGCGACCTGCAATCCCAGTACTCTAGAAGTGGGGGCAGGAGGGGCGGAAACTCAAGGTTACCCTCTGCAACGCAGTGAACTTGAGGCTAGCCTGAGCTATAAGAGAATGAAGCTACTTCCAGACCACGTCACAGAACTTACAGATATGACAAGGACAGCAGAGGTTCCAGTCTTGCCTGGAACCTGCACGCTGTTATTTGATGGAGCGCTGAAGTCATTTCCCATCATATTGGACAACGACAGGTCCAAGATGAAGGTGTCAGCAGGCTCAGGGTCAGGAATTGCGTCATTATAAAACAGCCGTTTGTTGCCTGTAATTTTCCGTGCTGGAAGGGCTGAGCGAATCTTCCTGAAGCCCCTGTTATAAGGACATCAGCCTTCCTCCAGAGGGCCTGCCCTCCTGGCCTGCTCACTTTTCAAGGGGCATCCCTGTGGGGACAAGGTTTTGCTAAGTGACTCAGACTTCCATGGCTGTCACACGAGAGCAGCCCTTTCCAAACCGGTGAGCGTTAGCCTCCTTTGCAGAGGCTTCTGCTGTGGTCGACTTCGGCCATAGCTGGGGGCCTGCCATAGGGCAGATATCCTGACAGCCAGAGCACAGGGCGGAGTGGAGCTGCTCACTTCCTGGTGCCTAGGAAGCAGACAGACGAGAAGGGTCCTGGGGACCGTTTCCCTTGCCTTCTTTCCAATAATGCCATGAACCCATTGATGGGTCAACACAGTGGTGGATCAGAGCCACCATGGCCCAGTTACAGGCATCAGAACCATCAGCTGAGACCAGGCCTTCAACACATAATGCTTTGCAGGGAGGGGAGACTTCGTATCCAGGTCATCACAGGATTCATCACAGGGATGAAAAAAAAAAAATAGCATATAGACTGTAGCACTGGGTTAGGACTGTCATTTGAATGGCTTAGATCTTGGTGGCTATAGGAATAGCAAAGTTCTAGGATGATAAGTGGGCACTGGGATTAGAAACAAAAGATACAGCTTCTGTTCCTAAATCTGCGGCCAACCAGATGGGTGGCTTCAAGTAACTGAAGTCCATTTTCCTATAAGTTGATAGCATGAGTGTAATCTCCTAGATACCCTCTGGTTCTGAAATGATGCTCCTGGGACCCTGAGGCTGGGAGGTTTGGGGAGCTGTAATTTCTGAAGGCTACACATGGGTGCAAACTTCTCTCGCTGCCAGTGTCATTTGTGCCTCATACCTGAGGGAGAGGAGACAACCCCACAGCTACCTCATACCTGAGTGAGAGGAGACAACCCCACAGCGTTTCCTGTAGTTGCCTGTGGACAGGGAAACAATTGGTGATGGATGGGGAGTGAGATTGACGTTATGATTCAAACAAAAGCAGATTTTGCAACTTCGCATGTCAATCCATGGCCATAATCTGCCAGTTAGGAGATGGAGGCAAGGAGGATAAAGAAGGCCAGCCTGGACTGCTAGAGACTCTGTCTCAAAAAACCCAAATCAAACATAGGAAAGCCACCGGGTTTTTGAAAGAAAACATTCTGAGATCTGTCCATTCGTGAGTTCTCATTAAGGTGATTTAGTTGGTATCATTAGCATTTATCAATGCTAAACAAAATCCAGAGTAAGAAGTGAGATATGGTTTGTTTTTTATCTGTTACTGCTTTTGTTTAAATTGAAGTACATGTCCGCACATTTCAATATATTGGAGTTAGCATAGAGAAATTTCCAAGGAGGAAAAGCAATGACCTGATTTGTGAAAACAACTGAAACAGCCTTTCACTATCTGAGGAAGCACCCTGACCTGCTGCTGTTCACTGCCACAGTGGGCAGGAGAGAAGCTTTCTGTGTGTTGTTCTTAGGCTAATGTATTATTAATGCTTCTATAAGTGACCTTACATTCTGATTTTAATTGTCTTGTGTGTTTGTGCATGAATAAATAACTTATGGTTTTCTTTGCTAAAGATACAGTAGTATGGTTTATCGTTCTCTGTGTGGGAGGATTTGTGAGGAGAGCGGGGTGATTGAGCCTGTGATGGGCTCAAGAGCCCTAAGCCTGGAGCAGGAGTCTGGAAAACGGGAGCAGAGATGTAAGATTTTCTTTCATCTAGCAGGCTGCCCAGTGGTACCATCTTACCCCACGTTGCCTTGAGACAGCGGCTTCCTGGACTGCTGCTAAGCTCTCCACTTCTGAGCTCTCTTCTCAGACCAGCAAGGGTCTTTATTTCTATTCTTATAGTTCCCTAGAAACTCAGCTTCACATTGAGTGCAGAATCGGCCAGGTAGAGAGAACGCTTGGGAAAGGAGGGAGTTCTGGCAGCTGCGGGTTGTGTTAGCCTGAGCCCTCCCGTAAAGCGGCCGCCCACAGATCCCTTTTCAGGTACCAGGCAGTCACACAGCTTCCTCAGAAGAAGTCTTTGCCCCTTGATTCCTGATGCAGCTTTACTTTAGAAATGCCTGGGGCAGGGCCTGAGCGAGACTCCAGAGGAGACACTCCAGGCGCCGCTGGTGTGCTTTTAAAGGGGAAGAGAAACCCGCCATTAGCAACTGGAGTAGCTGAAAGTGCCCCCTGCTGAGATCACT